AACAAAACTGGAATGTAAATTATGTTTTAAAATTCTATTCTTTGATCCCGTTGTCTTGTTTTCCTCCTCAACAGGACTTGCTTATGTGAACTCTACATTTCCAGACAATCTGTTTCCAATCAACGCAATTATTACTTTTATCAGTGACTGAAGCAATAGCTTATCCTAATGGCCTGTGTGTCTTAAAAGAGAGCGGCACAAGTGCTTCACCATGGTTTCATTTGCAGATTGATGCAGTCAGATGAAAATGAAACCCATGCAGAATGTGAAATGGGTTTACCTATGGAACTGAAACTAAGTTTCTTTCTTCTGCAAAGCCTTACCCTTCCCGGACCAGAGGTAGCTAATAGCTTTCCCACACTTTCTGTCTTTGCACATTTTTGTTGTATGTTTGTGTCAATCATTTTATCACATACCCCCATCTTGTAGTTCTCAGCATGAAATGGTCATCTTACGATATTTATAGTTATTTGGCATACACTCATGTATCAGAAGATAGTTGTTCATGCTGCCTTGTAGGCTTCATGAAAGGTCACAGAGCAGAAGGAGAATGAATGAGTCCATCAGAGAATATTAGGAGAATATATTTCAACTAGGAAGTGTGCACTTTTTCTTTTTTTTTTTTTTTTTGCAGCAGAGGAGTTTTGCAAGCTAATGAATGAACTGAACTGAATATCTCTCTCCTCAGAGATATTAACTAAATCAAAAGTGCATAGCACAGTATGAGATAAGAAGAATGCTAAGTCTGGTGCATACAAATCAGATACAACTGACAGGCCATCAAGAGTGTCTGACATCTTTCCAAAGCTGATTATAAAATGCAGTACCTGCTTCAACCTGGAAAAACACCGATAGGATCATTTTCAATAACAGATATGTATTAGCCCAGTGGTGGTTTCTAGTTCATAATAAAATTGAAATGGTGGTTGGCAATTAAAAAAAACCTCAATAACAAATGACAAGCAAAGTGCTAGGTCCTGCTGTTGAGTCACAACAACCCCATACAGTGCTACAGGCAGGGGCAGAGTGTCTGGAAAGCTGCTCAGCAGAGAAGGACCTGGGGCTGCTGATTGATTGCAGCTGAACTGCACCCAGGTGGCCAAGAAGGCCAGTGGCACCTGGCCCGTGTGTCCAGCAGGACCAGGGCAGGGATTGTCCCCCTGTACTTGGCACTGGTGAGGCTGCACTTTGAGTGTTGTGTCAGTTCTGGGCCCCTCACTGCAGGAAGGACACTGAGGTGTCGGAGCATATCCAAAGAATGGCAAAGGAGCTGGAAAAATTTTGCCAACAGAAAGGTTCTCAAACATTGGAACAGACTGTAACAATGAAGTGGTAGAGTCAGCATCTCTGGAGGCATTTTAAATATGTGTAGACATGGCACTTAGGGACCTGGTTGGTGGTGGACTGCACGGTGTTAGGTAGTAGTTGGAACTGATGATCTCAAAGGTCTTTCCCAACCTATATCATCCTATGATTCCATGAAAAATGAGAGAGCTCCAAAGGTAAAGGGTATTGGACTGCAGGTCTTATATCAGATCAAAGGAATGTCACCCAAAAATAATGTCTCCACATAAATTTCATAGGGAACTTTATTGTTTTAGTTAAAGTTAAGTTTAACTAAAGTTTAGTTAAAGTACTAAAAGGACATGACAGAAGTGCAAAGAAATAAGTAATATACAAAGTGAAGAATTCACTTACAAATACGAATTGCTAGTTGTAAGCTAGAAGGAGACAATAGGAAAGGGATTTTCTGCTTGTTACACAAATGTGCAGGTACCAGGAGATTGATGTTTGTGTGCAAGTACTGTACTGTCCTATGTAGATAGAGAGGAACTGTCACTGTGCAGAGATGGAGACGTTGCAGAGATAAAAACATGGAGACTAAGATTTTAGCTTAAAAATTATTTTAATTAGGCTGACAAGGTCTTGCTGTAAAAACGTATTTTCCATTATCCGCCAAAGAAGACTATTCAGCAGATTGTAAGGTAAGAAAAACATTTTTCTGTTAAAGTGGCTATCTACCTCATTCACTTTTTGGCTTCAATACCCATCTGTAGAGTGAAATATAGGTCTTGCACATGTTACAACCTAAAATAACGTGGGAAAAATAATTTCTAGAAAATTCAAAGTGCCTCCATTTGGCTTTGTACCAAGCTGGCAAAAGGCCCTTCAAAGCCTTCAAAGCCTTTAAAGTCTGCCTTGGTGTCTGCAGGGGAAATGACACATTATCGCAGTGGTGATGTTTCAAAATAGTTCATGTTCTAAATACCTCCAAATATCCTTAAATATCTCATGTACTTTTAGAGACAATTTGCTCTGCTTACCAGTTTGTTACCCTACAAGAAAAACACTTTTGTTTGGCAATACATTTCGTATGGGTTGGATACAGAGGGAGCGAGAAAGACTGAAGTAAAATACCAGAGACAGAGAAAGTTGAGTCTGGGGAAGGGGAATGACTGAAGCAAACGTCTCCAGTAGCAGACCATTTTTCAGTAGCATTAATTTATGAACAAAGCGAATGAAACTTTGAGTGCTCCTTTTTGACTCCTTCCTCTTACCCATTTGAGTTCTGCCACTACTTAACTTGCACAGAACCTATGACCCACGGCTCATCACTTGCTGTGTCTAAATAAACCTCACAGGATCCTTCCAGTATCTTTCCCATGATACCACAGAAAAGTTAAGGCTGAAGAAAATAGGCTTCTCACTGTCCTGGAATTAAGCATAAACTCATAGATTGTCTCAGGAAGCACAAATGTATACAAATGCATCTTGTCTCAGTTCTGTAAGATTTGTGATGAGTGGATCAGGAAAAGTAAGCAGAGAAAGATATTCATGTGTGCTTTGAGCTTTGAATTTCATTGAGAATTAATAAAATGTTAATGATCCATTTCAGTAGGTGTATTAGTTTTAGTTAATTGATAAATTGCAATGGCTCCTTTAGAGCTATTCAGTACTAATATATAAACATGGGGTTTTTGTTCATGGAAGTACCACTTTGGAATGTTATACAATACCTTCCTGAAGGGCTGTTTCACTTTTACTGAAACTGTAGCAGGAGGAAGTCAGATGGTTTGGTTGTCTTTTTCAGACATAAGGTTATATTGTGGCCTTGATGATCTTTACTGATATCAATAAAACATACTTAGTTCTGGTTTTGAAGTGATTCTGCAAAAATGAGTGACCTATTCCTGCTCCAGAACACTACTCTGTGATTAGCTCCTTATGTTAAGATGATGTGATAAAGAGACATGCTGTGATTTAGAGACTCTGAGGAATCTGTTGTCCTATCTGTTCAATCTAAATATGGCTCAGTCACAAATAGTACTTCCAAAAAAACTCCTGTAAAATTCCCTCAGCGCATGCCTGTTTCAGGTAAACCTCTTGCTGTTTCCTCTGAAACGTGTGGTTGAGATGGAGAACTTCTGCACCATTCTCTGAACTAAGCATACACACCTGCATTCATTTTAAAAGACAAGTCTGGGTATTATTTGTCTACAATATGAAATGAGATTTGTGCAAAGGAAAAGTTTTTGATTTCACGTAATTATCTTACCTGGAACAATGGTGTGTGCAAATTTCCATCATTCTTTAATTAATTAAAAAGGCCTAAGTTGTTCCTATTTTTCTGTAAGTCAGCCTTAGTAATCCTAATCCTGTAGCTTTCCCAGCACGCCTGCCATATTTAGGATATTTTTTTATCAAGTAGAAAATTCAACAGCGCTCTTGCAAGTTAATATGTGAGTTTACATTTTCTGTGTGAAAGCTGAATTAATGTCAGTCAGGTATTGAGGGCTTAGCTCATGGTTGGTGGTGCTTCTGTAACATAGGTCTGGCAGTTTAAGAATTTACTTTTCTTCAGATACAGGGCATGTACTCTTCACCACTTTTCTTGCAAAATTATCTTCAGTTACCTTCAGATGTGATTCAAAACACTTACTTGTGAGGTCTCACAGAGTCACTCAATATCTGAGGTTGTTGCTCTACAAGGGTTGTCTAGTCCAGCCTCATTCTCAGACGGGGTTACCAATGGCAGGTTGCTCAAGGCTGTGGCTTATGAATTTTTTAATATCTCCACAGATGGAGCCTCCAGAGTGACTTTCTACAGCTCTCTCTTTTTCTATTTAAATTGTATTCCCTGTATTTGAGTTTGTTCACATAACCTCCTCTCCTGTTAGTGGGTACCCATCTGACTCCCTCGTATTAATTCTGTTTCATTGGGTGTTTACACATCTAGTGGACCCCTTTGAACCCTCTCCAGGCTAGGCAGTCCCTGCTCTCTCAGGCTCTTCTTGTATCCTAAATGGCTGTCTCACTTCTCTGCTATCTCACTCCATCTCTCTTTTGTATCTTGAAGCCCAGAACTGGGCACATCACTCCACATTTGGTCACAACAGGGCTGAGTAGATGGGAAGGATCCTTCAACCCCTGACAACAGTTTCTAGTGCAGCCCAGAAGACTGTTAACCTTCTCTGCTGCAAGGACACATTGTGAACTCGTGGTCAGCTTGTTGTCCATCACAGCCCAAAAGCCTTTACTGTAAAACTGCTTTTCAATCAGGTGACCTCCTTTTCTGCTCTTTCACTAGGAATGTCTCCCACATGTACCTGAAAAACCATATTATCCTTTTTTAGATGCATAATGACAATTTAGCCCAGCAAAACTCACATGAATGCATATGTCATATTTTAACCCCAGCCAGCAGCCAAGCACCATGCAACTGCTCACTCACCCCCCACCAGCTAGAAAACTTGTGGATTCGAGACAAAGGCAGTTTAACAGGGAAAGCAAAAGCCATAAATGCAAGCAATGCAAAACAAGGAATTAATTCACTAATTCCCATGGCAGGCAGGTGTTTCACATCTCCATCAGGGCCCCACAGTGACTTGGGAAGACAAATGCCATGACTCCAAATGGCCCCTCCTTCCTCCTTCTCGTGCCCAGCTTGAAATACTGTTCTGGAATATCTCTTTGGCCAGTTTGGGTCACCTGTCCTGGCCATGTCGCCTCCCAGTTTTTCATTCACCCCTATCTTCCTCATCAGCCTGGCAGTACAAAAAGCAGAAGAGGCCTTGTCTCTGTGTAAGCCCTGCTTGGCAGTAACAAAAATGTATCTATCATCAATGTATTCAGCACAAATCCAAAATGCAACCCATAAGTAGTTCTCTTGAAGAAAATAAACTCTACCTCGACTAAAACCAGCACATCATATCTGAGTGCACCCATAGTATTTGGCTTAAAACCTGATCGTTTAGCTACTTAGCATATATGGACTTCTGGGATACTTTTCCAAATGGAAGTTTTGTATCCTTTGAGGGCAGGGCGTTTTGTAGCCAGAAGGGGGACTGTTGGCACATATTGTGCTGGAGCTTTAGCCATTTCTGTTTCCTTTCCATAGCCTTGTCTAAAGACGTAGGAAATAATGTTGATTGAAACTTCTTCCTGATTAGTGAACAGTGTGGCAGTCTCTGACTTCTCTTTGTGTCAAGGTGTATGTCATGATTGGGGTGTGAAAGACAAAAAGACAAAATAAAGACAAAACCCCCCATGTTTATCAGCAGAACAAATTCAGTAAGTGCATCCTTCCCCTGTTTCCTTGGGAGCTTCAACAGTGGGGTTAAGGACAGAAAAACTGCTCTTTCCTTCTGCTTGTGCCCATAACTGAGGCACCTTTGTTGCATGTAGATGAATTCTCTGGAATCTTTGCCACTGAACTGTTAAAACCAGAAGCTGTTATCTAGGGAATATTAACAGCAGTTTACAGTTTAGAATGAAGAACAAGGAAGATGGAAAAAAAAAACTTTTCTAAAAGTAACACAAGAGTCCTTAGTTAAAATGTATTGTAAAATTTTGGTTCTCATAATACATTTCTTTCCAATTAACAGTGATACCACTGTAGCTTTTGAACACTTAGAAGGTGACTTTGAAATCAGAGGTGAATTAACAGAATCTATGAGGATCCTGAAACTACATTCTTGTTCTTCTATGTGTTCTGCATGCTGAATGGCTGCAGAACAAAATGCCTTATGTATTTAAAAGCTTGATCTTGCCTAAGAAATAAAAGAAAGTTATGCAATTTCACTTCTTATGTGATGAGCTGAGCTGACATTATAGCTTAATGATAGCCTGGAAGTAGTGCTTAGAGGGGAAAAAAAAGTCTCTCTCTGCTGGTGAATTCTGTTTCCTAAGTAACTAGAGTATTATGCTGTCTGGGTAGCTCTAACTGGAGAGAAGCTAAAAAGAGATAAACTTGATAGATTATTGAACCCAAATTAGTTTGATCATCAGTGGAGAAATCTTTTGAGGAGGACCCAGAAATTAAAGGTATTAGGGAGATTTGTGATCACTGATGTTTGCACAATAAGGCTGCTTAGAAAGATTCCTGCAGTAGGGATGTGTGACACAACTAGGCTGTATTTCCTTTTTGCTTGCTATGAAATTTTAGCTTACTTGCAATTTCAGGTAGCCTTTCTTGCACTACAGCAAAGAAATCACCAGATGGTCTGGGTAAATTTTCCATCAATATGCAAAAGTTTCTGTACTATTCTGGTCCTTCAATGAAGGTTGCAAAATGCTAGTAGAAGAAGGCCGACAGTGGACAGGGATCATGAATAGTCCAGGTGGAGTTTGTCTGGGGTCCCTTTTTGTTTTAAGCCACAGACTTCCCAACAATGGAAGTACCAAGAGGTTTGTGGTTAGGCAGCTGAATAGAGACAGTCATGTTTACTATTGTTTTTTCCCACCTGGCAAAATGCCCCCACTTTGTATATTACAACCAGATCTTGTAGGGCTTAGAATTACTAGTTTCTCTATGCTTCTCTATATGAGATGTAAAGTGGGCATTTCTCTGTCACATTTTGGGGGAATTGGAGGGCTGGTTTTGATTCAGGGTTGCTTTCATCTTAGTGGTCTGGGAAAATATGTAACCTGGAAAATAAATGTGGAGAGAAAAGGGATCTGCTTACCTCTTCACAAATTCTTTGGTGCTTATTACAAGCAATAGTTACTCTGATAAGTGCCATCACTACAGCAGTTCAGGAGGAATCATTCTGACAGGTTGCAGATGTTCCATCCCTTAAGGATCAAGGTTTCACAATCACTGTCCCAATAACTTATGTGGGAAGCAAGAGCAATCACAGTCCTCCAGCAGTGTTGACATACTGAAGAGTAATTTATAAGGGTAATTCATAAGGGGTTGTGAGAACCTCTTTCCTTCACTTAGCCTTTGATAAAGCCAACAATTACTTGGCAGGTCTTTGATAGTGTCTCCTTCCAGTTCAAGCCTTTGTAAAGGCCAGAAATCTTTGCTTTATGTAAAACAAGAGATGTATACTTGTGACTATGTGTAAGAACAAGGCTGTCTCAGTTTAATTCAGTTAAATCTCAGCCAGCAACGAGCCAATGTGGAGGTGTCCTGACTCAGTATCTAAGGACTTACAGGGTTTTCCAGGATGAAGGAACCTCTTTTAGTAAAAGATGCAGAGTTTTCATGCTGCAGGCAATGTCCAATGCTGCTTCCAAAGGGTATGTGCATTCTCTTCATCCATGTAACCAGGTTTGACCTTCCTGCTGCCCTCCATTGCACTAATGGCACTGTTTCACAGTACATGCTCTTCCCCTTTCTTCAGCAGCCGTTTTTCTCCCTGCCTGGATGATTGACAGTCATTTGCTAATAAAAATGTCTCTGAAATACAGGATAAATGGATTTAGGCAGCACTTTGGGGATAAAGGGGCATGAAGGAAACCTCCTCCTCATTTGCATGATTGTGCAAACAAAAAATCTTCCTCAGCAACACACAGGGACTGAAAATTTGGGAACAATGTGTATTCAGCAGTGGAACAAGACAAAGCCATGATCCTACCTAGGTGCTAAGCATTACAGGCCGTGGTGTCCAAGAACTGGTAAGAGACATACAGAGATGCTGCTTTTTTCTGATCCACAGTAGGAGCCTAGAATTCATCAACTCAAACTGTTTGCTAATGCCATGTGGTCCTACCTATCACAGGACGTGCAATTTCTGAAAACAATTAAAACTGTGATTACTCATCCCTGCAATCAAGATTTCAAATTCCTTTCCCAGCCCTGGTGTAATTTTGTTCTGGATGTATTACTTACCTATTACATTAAAAACCCTTCAAAATCAATCTTCAGTCACTTGGCTGAGCTGATAAAGTGAAAACATGGTGTGGGTGGCAGCTTGTGCTTTTCAGGACTGCAAACAAATTGTGCTGCCATCATGCAAATCTACAAATATGATCTCTTCCTTTTGCAGCTGTGCTTCTGCTGCCAGTGCCAGGTAACTTACTTGATCAGGTTAAATGCTTTGCCCACTTCCTGCCTGGCGTGGGGGGGGAGGGGAGTGTGCTGCCTCCTCAGTCAAAGAAACCTTTCCAGCTGCAGAGGGAATGACAGATGGTCCTGAGCATGGGGAAGGAGAGAGCTGTCATCCTGGGGGTTTTCACCATATTCTTACAGGGCAAATTTTCTCCTGTGCTTTCTCTAGGGGCTACCAAAGACATGGGGAAGATGCTGGGTGGGGATGAGGAGAAAGACCCAGATGCTGCTAAGAAAGAAGAGGAACGACAGGAAGCCCTTCGGCAACAAGAGGAAGAGAGGAAAGCCAAATATGCCAAGATGGAGGCTGAAAGGGAAGTTATGAGACAAGGGATTCGGGACAAGGTAGGTAACTTATAATGCCCAGTGAATAATCTGTTTTCTGCTTATTTGTGACTAGTTCCCTAGGCACCTGGATAGAACCAGGTAACTACTCTGCGACACAGAACTTTCTAATTTTTTGCAGTCTTCCCCAAACTCTATTCCTGTTTAAACACATGTCCTGCAGAACAAAGCCCTGCAAAGTTGAAATAGAGTGTGAAGGTGAGGGGAGAAATCCATCTATTTTTCTCATCATCTATTAAGCACTCACATTATATTAAGTGTTAGAGGCTTCCTTGGCCCTTTGAAGATGCTTTTCAAGCTTGAACTTGTGGTTTGTGAGAAGTGTCATAATTCAGTGTGTTTTTGAGAGATATGTTGCAGTGATCTTCTGTATTGATTCCAAAGCTTTTTGTGTTGACCAGTGATATGGGAAAAATCTACTCTACTGTTAATATTTAGGCTTCTACCACTCACATGGGATTCATCTGAAAGAAAGTTTTTATACATTAAATGTTAGGGATTGATGTGTGGAGGAAGAAGACAGTTTTGATGCCTCACCCTCAAAGCCAGATCAAAACTGTCTCTTTAGAATAAGTTACATTTGTAAGAAGATGTCCTGGTGTTCGGATATCTTGGAAGGAAATGTGGGCAATGGTTGGACAAGGGGTTTCTAATGATGAAGGCTTGTCAGGTGACTTAGATCAAGTGCCAAGAAAATACCTGTAGATAAAATGGGAAAGTCTTGCTCAGTATAAGAGGTGTTCCCCTGTGCAGTTCCTACCTCTGTCCTCTAAGAACATGTCTTGGAAAAGACATAAACAAAGCTATATCTGCATTGAGCCAAACTTCTGACCCAATTCTTATGATTCATGGTGGGAGCACAAATAAAGATAAATTTCTCTGGTGGCACAGTGCAGCTTGCAAAGAGTTACTGAGAATTGTTCTGCAAATAAAGAAATTTGGGATTATGCTTCTAAGAAAAGAAAGGACTTAGAGGGAATTTTCTACCTTAGACACTGCCAGAGAAAGTATCCATTTTAAAAAGTTGACAGAAATGGTTGACAGAAATGCAGAATCGCTACCTGGTCAAAAATTGTTGTTTTATAATCATAGAATTATCAAATGGTTTGGGTTGGAAGGACCTTAAAGATCATCTAGTTCCAACCTTTCTACCATGCGCAGGGACATTTTTTACAGCCTGACCTTTCACCCTTCCAGGGATGGGGCAGCTGCAGCTTCTCTGGGCAACCTGTGCCAGGGCTTTACCACATCTGAGGAAAGAGTTTCTTCCTAATATCTAATCTAAACCTATATATCTTCCAGTTTAAAAATATTAAATCCTCGTTCTGTCACTATGTGCCTGTATAAAAAGTTCCTCTCCTTCCTTTTTATAAGCCCTCTTAAGGTGTGTAAGTTTACAATGAAGTCTCCCTGGAACCTTCTCTTCCGGGCTGAACAACCCCAGCAATAACATATTTAATGAATCTAAATCTAGAGAATCTAGTATATTAATATAAGCATATCAATGTGTGCATAATATATCTAATGTATGTTTACAGGCAGAACTGTTTCTAAGCAATGACAAAGGTCAGGAGGGAAAAGAAAAGAGTATTAAATTTCTGAGTTGCATGCAAATGAGCTAATGCCTGTTTTTCACTGGTGACTGTCTCTTCTGAACCACTGAATTGTTCCCAGATTCAGGGAACAGGGGTTGCCTTTTTCTTGCTGTTGGGAAAACTGCTGTAAAAGCATTGAAAAGGTGTGAGATGTCCTCTGTTATAATTCCAAGGTGGTCTCATTCATGAGTAGGATGTATACAGGCTGAGCTACAGCCAGAGGATTTTCCTATGATACTGGCAGCTATCTGGACTTTGCTGAGCTGGCTGAGTTCTGAGTGGCAAAGTCCCTTAGAAATGCACTGAATCCGTGAGAAATTTGGCAAGGAGTTGGGTCTCCTGAAGTGGAGAGCAAGAATACTTGGAGGAACATTATTTGACCTCAGTCAAGGCTCTGGACTGGTGTGGTGGAGTGCCTTTGAGATTAGCATCAGGAAATCCAGCTTTGGGCAGGCCATCTGGATTGTGAGCTCATTTTTCTGTGGTTTTCTTTTTCCTGGGAGTAAACCCAGGTAGCATGCATTTGAAAGATGAACGTGTTTTCTGCAGAACCAGAAAAGATGGATAAAGCTCTAGAAAGGAGATGTATCCCTTTCCTTCCCTTCGAGAGATTACCTTGTCCTGACAAAGAGATGGATTTGCTGATATACAAGACTGTCTTCTAGTAGTGATGATTGGTGGTTGGAAATATGAAACAAATGTTGAAAGAATTAAAAAAGAGCTGGATTATTTCCTTCATTACTTGATTACTTAGAAGTTACTTTCATTTATTCTCTCACTCCAGTAAAAGCATAAATGCAGAAAAGAAGAAAATGGAAACAGATTTTCTGTCTGGTATGTATACAAGCACAAGTTGCTGTTAGCAGGTATGAATAAAATCGAAGACATTTTAAGTTTTAGAAAGCTCCATTATTATATTTGCTCATTTCTTGTATGAAAGAGTGAAAAATGAGCAATTAGTTCGAGTGACTGAATAGGAACAGATTATTTATGCAGAATAAAAGTTCGAAAGTGTGTGTCCTAGGTTGTGAACCCACAGTCACAATTATTCCTTAGTGCAGCTGCAGAATGTTAGGAAAGCAATCCCGGGAATCACAGCTTCTGGGCCCTATCCCAGCTGTTCCTGGGGAGAGTTGCCACACCTGATCAACATAGGCAGGACTACTGAGAGGCCTCCAGTGCCCCTTTGTCTGGCAGGTGAGGCTGTGGATAGCTAACATCCCTGTTACCTTGCTAACAGCACGTACTGTCAGCTTACCATGCTGCAGCAGCTTTCTTGTTTCCAGTGCTCTTGGTTGGAATACTGACTTCTAGAAACAAATTGTTTATGTAAGTGCACACCTCAACAGTGAAAGCGAATTACTTTCTTTGTGTAATAATCCAAAATTAGTTATTTACATAATTAATAATTTCTACCACAGTGGTAGAGCCCAGTCCTGAGGAAACCCCTAGTCCACGCTCAGTAGTTAACACTCTACCTGCCCTAATGAGACAATGTCTACAGTTCAGCTTCCTGAAAATTTCACACATGTTTTAGACAGTCAGCATTGCTGAATCCCTGTTGAAAAGTAGCAGAAACTCAGGGATATCCTTACAACAGTGGGTTTAAACCAAAAAGGGAGGAAGCATGGTCCAAATGGCTTGACTTCAAGAGAGAATTTAAGTTTAGGTTCATACTTGTGATGGAGCATGAGCTGTTTCAGTATTTTTTTATATACTCAGTTCTCTGACTGAAAGGAGGAAGTGTCTCTGACCCAGCTTGTCTTTAACCAGCCTTACATGCTGGTCATACACTATGTAGCATATGGTTTATAGCACATGTGTTATGTACTATAAAACAGAAAATCAACTACATTAATAAGGATTCCTGTGCTTACATTATTAAGGATTCATGTCCTACAGAGCACATGGTTATGTCCAATAAAACAGAAGTTTAATTATATTAATAAGGATTTCTGCCCTTCCAATGGAGCATGAAATCTGCATGAAAAGTACAGAAAAGCATCAAATGGAAATTCTAATCTGGAAGAATTAAAGTTGTCTCTACAGTTGTAATTGTCCTTCTTGGATGCTTGTGTAAAGGTGTGACAGTGCATGATCGTTTGTTCATACTTCTGGGACCCTCAACTCTCCCATTGCATAAGACAAAGTTAGTTGTTTTCTGAACAGGTGTTCAGTATTTCATCTCCGATGTATATTTTCAACGTATGTTTTCAAATTCATTTACTATATAATATAAAAATTCTTATGGCAATATAATGAATTTCTTCACCCGAGGGTTTAATTCTCTATTGCTATTATTATTACGCTTTCATTAACCTAGCTGAGTTAATTTTAAACATGGTTTCTTCTTATATTTGTCAGGGTGGGGGACAGAGTTTTGTTTAGTTTTTTCTGTTTGTGAGGTATGAATGCAGAAGGGTCATTATGAAATTAAAGCTTTGGTGGCAGAAGAATGTAACTTGTTCCATCAGTGAGTCTCAAAGACACAGCAAGAAATGCTCAGAACTACTTGTGCCTTTGCAGGCAAAAGAGCAATAGCAAAATCTGGGTTTGAGGTTTGTTCTGGCAGGCAGCGTATCACCCAACAGGAGAATGTGCAGTCTTTTCTCTGTTTGAGTCCCTTCTGTCTCTTGGTGTGTGCCACTAATTCTTCCCATATTTCTTATTGGGACACTTAATGCTGTCAGTGATTAGGCAGTAAGATTCTCTGCAGTATTTGGAATTGCTGAAAGAATCATAGAAGGGCTTGAGTTGGAAGGCGCCTTAAAGATCATCAAGTTCCAGCCCCTCCCTCTTGTGCTCAGGGGCGTCTGCCACTAGACCAAGTTGCTCAAAGCCCCATCTAACCTTGACATTGAACGCTGCCAGGGATGGGGCATCCACAATTTCTCTGGACACAGTCTGTGCCAGTGCCTCACCACCAAAATCCCTGCTCTACAGAGATGGGGCAACTGAGAGGCTTTTGAAAAGATTTTATTCCATTATCAATCTTATTGAAGGGTGAAATTTAAGAGATGTAAAACTCAACACCATTCTATCAGAAGCCAGCCTATTTCCTGGCTACAATACTTTATAAATGTTTTTCAGCCTATTAGCTTTTGCTGCATAGTGCTGCTAATACTTCTAACAGCAATCACCTACTATTTTACCCCACGGGGTCTTGCCTCAATGCATCTTTCATAGTTCTAATTCTCCAAAATACCTGGTCTTTTTTGCAAGGCCATTGTTTGAAACTTGTTTCTAGTTCAATCTCTCTCTCAACAATGTCACCTCTATTCCATGGTTTTTCTAAGTCAGCACTCCTTATCTCAGAGTCTGCATTGAGATGTATGGATGTAAGGAGCTTTCAGTCAGGCTTTGGGAATCCTTTACAAATCCATTTCTCACAACCACCCTCACAGT